TTTGAATCGATTCAATGTCCAAATAAAAAAATTATGATATTTTGTCTGAGATAATTTCAATAAAATAAACGCGCGAAACATGATTAAATGATCAGCAATACAAATAATGTAAATACAGATAATTCCGCAATACTATACGAATTACAATAATTTTTTCAGTCAATTACTTTACAATCGATGTCAGGCAAATCATATTGAGCGTAAAGGTCAATAACACGAGAGAGAGAGAGAGATTACAATAAATATAAGTCAGACATAAGTCATCTAAGCATGTGTATTAGAACGTGTGATGAATATGAACTTTTTGCAAATTCTTGTCTTACAGGATTTTATATTTTCAAAAAAGTTTCTATTAATATTCAACGAGTTTCTGCGATATATTATTTAAAATATGTCAAGTATGTTTGAAATGTTTAGGATTATGAATCCAATAAAGCGGTGTTAAATGAACGAAAAGATCATTGAATAACACAGATCCCAAACATTCATTATGGTAGATGATCATGATTGGCTTCGTGTAGCTTTGAAGGAACATTGATAGATAGATTTCCATATCGATTTCAATGAAACTTCATGCAAAATCAATAATATCCGTGTCGATCTCTGTTATTGGCCTTTATATGACGATATTCCATTAACAATAAGCAAATTTCCGCAAACGCCAACACAACATACATATACTTGTCACAAGACGCAAACTATTCGCGTCACGTTCCATTTGGCCCAAGAATATTTGAGAAGTCTCGTGACTATCCTAAGAAGCAGCCCAATTCGTCACATGTTAACTTTACGAAGGGAAAAAAGAAAGAGAGAGAGAGAGAGGGGGGAGGGGGGAGGGGGGAGGAAAGAGAAGGCGCAAAAGTATGAACCAACGGCCCATATCAGAGATGTAAGCTTCGATGAATCGCTGGATGGAGCTGTTCGGAGACAACCGGACAAGGGCCGCGTGCCTAAAGTATATTCGTGAGTTGGGTCTCATCGGATATACCGTTACGAAGTCGCCCAAGAATAGTTTGGCGCGAATGACCACGGCCCATTTTCTTCTTTTTTTCGGTCTCTCCTCCTCACCTACATCTCACTCAGGTCCTCTTCCCGTTTCGTCGCTTTGTCCTTCGTCCTCCAGCCTCTTCCAACGGATTTTCGACATCCTCCTTCTAACGGACGCCCTCCTTTACGGAACCGCGTTGCCCGCACTCGTTGATTACCTTTTTCATTCGAGGAAGCAGGCCAACGCGCAATGGACGATCACGATCGGTACGGTTAATCGATGGCAAAAAGACGACCGATATGCCAGTAGTATTATCTATCGCGATTAATCATAAATGACGACGTATCTTAGACAGCAGAGTTAGCGTTGAATAACGTGCATAAGCACGTAGGCTTCTTCATATTTGTATCAATAATGTAATAGCAGATAAATTAATGTCATTCAATTATATGTGTTAAAATGACTTATAGTAAAATAGGGAAATACTTTTCAGTTTTATCAAGACTACAATTTACTTAATTTTTTAATGAATAAGTTTAGGAGCTTTCTCCTATATAATATCGATACAAGTTTTTGTTCAAGATCTAAAAAAATATCATAAAATTAGCATTTCTTTTCTAAACTTTTTTTCTGTTACCTTGAAATTTTATAGCTTTTTTTTTTTTAGTTTTAGTTTTGTAGCTTGCATTTAGGTATTTTGTGTAAGGAAATGCAGAGTCATGTAATGCAGTGCACGAATAATTTAATAGAAATCAATCTAAATTGTGTTTAGAGAGGAAAAAAACTAGAATAGTCTCATAGGTGGAGGTCAGTGCGCCCTTGGGAAAATCACTTTCCTTCCGCGAACGTAATAGCCAGTTATCTCCGTCTTCCACGTTCCGCGTCCTTCCGTATACGTACACGTACGGATGCGCTCGTTATGTGCGAACCTACAAACTATCGGCGAGTCCTCGT